AAAATAAATAAACATTAAAAAAAAGAAAATATAAACTGTAATCAAGGTCTCAGAAGAACGCTGAAGAAATCACGCATGCTTTCTTTGGATTCAGAAGGGGAAAGGGCAGCACAGAGCTCTCGCACAAAGGGTTGAGAAATACTCTCAGTTTAACCTACAAAGAACTCGTCAGGAATTTATAAGCAATCTCTGACCCATAGGTTAAAGAAACAGGGTCATTTATATTTCATTTATTAAGATCAATTAGATTATTTTTTATAGAACACCTTCAGGGCTTTATCCAATTCTCCATGATTTTGTTCAATTCAAATGTCTTCTGTCATCTTCTCAATCTATCTCACTGTCTCTAACAAGAGATCACCAAATCAGAATTGTCCCATGTATACTCTTTGGCTTGGTTTCATTCCATTAATTTTCCTTATTTACAGTCCATTTTGAAAAAACTCCTCAATTCCTTAAATCCTCCAAATGCATTTCAATGATTGTCATGTCTTCCTTGTCATTTAACATATTAAAAAACCTTTTAAAAACTATTTGTGGCACGCCTTGGTGGCTCAGTTGGTTGAGCACTGGACTCTTGATTTCAGCTCAGGTCATGATCTCATGGTTTGAGTTCAAGCTCCACATCGGGATCTGTACTCAGCACAGAGCCCGCTTGGGAATTTTTCTCTCTCCCTCCCTCTCTCTCTGCCCTTCTCCCCACTAAAAATAAATGAATAAACATTTTTTAAAACTTTGAAAAATGTTAATACTGAACATTTATGAGTGTGGGATTACAAAGGACTTTTACTTACCATATATTTTTGTAACATTTAAATTTTTATAATTAGCATATATAACTTCTTTAATCAGCAAAGAAATCTTATTTTATTTAATCAGCAAAGAAATTTTAAACATTGTTACTATATCCATGGGTATTACCCTTTCATTTTGACAGTTTTCCTCTATATTTAATTTGCCACAATTAGTAAATAGGTCTTCTTACAGCAAAAGGAAAAAAAAAGTGAGCCTCCCAAGTGTTTCCCAACCAGTAGCTCCAAGTAACATAGTTGAATGATTTAGAAAAAAACTACTAGACATAAAAGAAAAATTATCCATGATTAAGAATATGACTAAGGTAGAGGTTAGAGTGGGAGAGAGCCAAAGCATAAGAGACTCTTAAAAACTGAGAACAAACTGAGGGTTGATGGGAGGTGGGAGCGAGGGGAGGGTGGGTGATGGGCATTGAGGAGGGCACCTTTTGGGATGAGCACTGGGTGTTGTTTGGAAACCAATTTGACAATAAACTTCATATATTGAAAAAAAAAGAATATGACTAAGGTTTGGGATTAAAGTACTTTTCTCCCAGGGAGAAAAAATATCTGTAAAATCTCTGCAGTAAATCAGTGTAACCACGAAGCCTTTTGAGTTAGACTTATTTGTATTTGTTTGGTTTACAGTGCTTCTTTTAGAATACTAATTAGTTACAGTGCAATTTCTGTACACCTTTTATAAAAAGCCAAATTAAACATAATATATGTACAAATTATTAGGACTTTAAAAGATCAACACTAAATTTAAATTCCACCAGGACAAATGAAATCCCTTAGATTGTGGAAGAAAGAAAGTTCTATATCTATTAATAGTCTCTTCCCATCTACTTATGCGTGTCTTCTGCTAGGAGCAGAGAGCGGAGCTCAATAGGCAAGAACTACAAAAGGGGAGGAGTTGGAGGGAGGAAATTTTTTTTTAAGTTTATTTTTTAATAATCTCTACACCCAACATGGGGACTGAACCCACACTTCAAGATCAAGCGTCATATGCTCTTCCAACTGAGCCAGCCAGGTGGCCCCAAAAAATGCATTTTATTAAACAAAAGAACTCAAGGGGCGCCTGGGTGGCGCAGCTGGTTAGGCGTCCGACTTCAGCCAGGTCACGATCTCGCGGTCCGTGAGTTCGAGCCCCGCGTCGGGCTCTGGGCTGATGGCTCAGAGCCTGGAGCCTGTTTCCGATTCTGTGTCTCCCTCTCTCTCTGCCCCTCCCCCGTTCATGCTCTGTCTCTCTCTGTCCCAAAAATAAATAAACGTTGAAAAAAAAATTTAAACAAAAGAACTCTTAAATATTATTTCCAAAGCTAGCATTCTGATTTCAAAGACCTCAAATTTTATATTGAACAGAGTCCTAACTAAATTTGTCATTGAATACACTGAGGTGGGTACCTTGATTCCTATAGTAAAGTAACCTAAAGGATTCCCAAATTTCATTCATAATTACAGCAAGATTCCCTTAATCTGTGGACCTCTAATAAGGGGACATGATCAAAAGAATGTGGCAGAAAGCAGGAATAATAGCAGCTGTTCATGAACTTTTCATAGCAAAATAAAAGGCAGGGAGAGACAAAAACTGAGAAAAGTCCTGAATTGAGTGAGATCTGTTAACAAGAATTGAGAGACAGAAAAGAACTTTATAAATAATACTCACCACCACCCTTTATGTTCTAGGCTTCTATTTCAACAAAATTCTAATATATTATAGCAATTTTTATATCTTATTTGTGTAAAACTGTGGTTTTTCCTTTTAGACTAAATGGGTACTTTCAAATTGTATATAACCTGTACCTTAAGATATTCACTAACATCAAAAGACTTAAGCCTGTAGAAAGCACACTCACTTTCCATTGCCTCCTTCTGGTATAAAATTTATAGAGAAGGATGCTTAATTAGCAGCTGTTTATTCCAGCTGTATCACCAACTGCTCCCAATAGTCAACACATGGATAATTAAAGCACAAAGAAAAATGGCTCCAAAGATTAGCAGTGTATGATAGAAAATGTAGGTGTTTGTCTTTACGATATACTTACCTGGGAAATCAATAAGTAATCCACATTTGATATGACTGTCATAAATTTCAGAATAAACTAGTGGACTGGCCACATTAGGGTTCATTTGCTGTAAATAGCAAACATATCCTCTAGAGATAGCAGCAACAGCTACCATTTACTAAGCAGTTTTCTATTTCCCAAGCAAGTTATTGAATGCTCTACAATACATATATCAACATATTTAAGTTGTGCAATAATCATAAAAAGTAGGTATCACAATATTAACAATTTCACACCAAAATCATAGATGACTCAAATTTTGACTGAGTTGATCTAATTACTAGAAAAACTATCCATTGTGCTAAAATTCCTATTGTTAATAAGATTGATATATTTTTTGCCTCTTTTACAACACACTAAAATATAATTTTTCAGGGCATTTGAAAATACTTCACCAAGTTATTTTTATATCCCCAAAAGAGGAGAAAAATACAATCAGGCAGAGATTAAAATCATATATAATAACTAGCACTAGATAGAATTCAAGCTCTTCCTGTTTTCTCCAATCTCATTCTAATTACAAGAACACAAAAGACGCAAAATGCAGTGGTTCTCTATTAAATTTATCATATAGATTTTGATGAAAATATGACTGTGGTTCAAATTATATTCCTAAAAATATAGCCAATAAATATACAGTAAAAATCTGATAGAGGCGCCTGGGTGGCTCAGTCAGTTAAGCATCAGATTTCAGCTCAGGTCATGATCCGTTTGTGGATTCAAGATGTGTCAGGCTCCCCCCTCTGTCCTTCCCCTACTCACCCTCCCTCTCTCTCTCTCTGTCTCTGTCTCTCAAAAATAAAAAACATTAAAATAAATTAAACCTGGTATAAAACCCATGCTAAACTAGTCAGCTCCTTTGGTTATAATTGAAATAATTCAATTTATTAAAATGTGATTATATAATTATAAAGTGATTTCCACTTGTGTGAAACATTCTAAATTGAGATAAGTATATCTCTTATAACTGTATAAGCCTGTTCTGAGAGACATGGTTCTTTATAGACTTTGATAACTCTTCACACTTTAAAAAGTCTTTTACATAAAAAGTTATTTGCATAAATATTTTGTTAGAGATATATACACCTGTGATTGCTATAATCTTAATCCATATATGTATTATTTTGTTAATGGCAAATGTAATTTTCACCATAGTCAAACTAACCCTGAAAATATCTCAAAATAACCAGAACTAACCCTATACTGAGAATGGAGAAACATTCAGTGAACTGATTTGATGTATTTCACTCCATAATCTTTTGATGTCCAAAGCACCTTATGTGACATCTCCAGAAAAATTCATTTTTCACACAAATTCATTTAACTAGCAATTATTAAGTATCTACTATGTGTCAGAACCTGTGATGTGCCTAGGTATTTGGCCAAAGACAGAGTTCTTGTATACAGTTGTTATATTTTTACACTACTCCCTTAATATTTTCAGATTCAACACAACAGTATAAATATTAGTATAATACTGATCATATAGTAAGTGCTAAATATATACTTATTTCAATGATATTAAAATACCAAAATTCACTTAAGACTAACAATTTTAGGGGCGCCTGGGTGGCTCAGTCGGTTAAGCGTCCGACTTCGGCTCAGGTCATGATCTCACGGTTCGGGAGTTCGAGCCCCATGTTGGGCTCTGTGCTGACAGCTCCGGCCTGGAGCCTGCTTCAGATTCTGTGTTTCCCTCTCTCTCTGCTCCTCCCCTGCTCACACTCTGTCTCTCTCTCAAAAATAAACAAAGATTAAAAAATTTTTTTTTTAATTCATGTCTTTAAAAAAAAAAAGACTAACAATTTTAGCTGATCCTGATCCTATTCTCACCCATCTGCCTTACACTCTGGGGTTGGCAGACAGCAATATGTACCAAAACAAAAAATTTTTTTAATTCCATGTTCTTGATGGTGATACAAAGGAGGTATTAAAGAAGAACATACACTTCTGTTATATCAATAATAGAATACATTTTCCTATCAACTGGCAACATGTAAGAATAAACAACACATGTTAAAGGAATAAATAAATTTAGCATGTTGGCTTTTAACGTCAGAGAATGTTTAAACTGACAAAGTACCATATAGTAAGTATTAACTGAACTGTATGATATACCTAAATTTTTTATTTATATTACCTAAGCCAGAAAGAACTTTCATCATATTTATTCTGCTTGTAGGCTTCTATTCCAAAGTTGTAACAGAGAATATGAAGATATCCAGTCTGCAATAATAAAAAAAAAAGTCAGATTCATGATTTCTTTTAAAGTATTCTATGCATCAAAATAACCCAATCTTCCTTATCAAAACCTCCAAAATTATGTAAAGAGGAGTTACAAAATATTCATGTTGAGGCATTAATTATATATGGAAAATACAATACATTACTATTAGAACTTGAAAGGTACTTTGTAACAGGAAATGGGAAACCTAATCATTGCCTAGCAAAACAACAACCTCCTCTGCAGGTTGCCAAATCCAGTAAGAGGCATTATTAGGTGAGCAAGTATAGTCAAAAGAAAAAAAAATCACCATGGAAGGGGATTTTTTTTTAGAGCAAGACAACTTTTAAAAAATTCTAAAGTTTTGGGGTGCCTGGATGGCTCAGTTCATTCAGCGCTCAACTCTGGCTCAGGTCACGAATCTCACAGTTTGTGAGTTCCAGCCTGACATGGGGGTCTGTGCTGATAGAGTGGAGCCTGCTTTGGATTCTCTCTCTCTCTCTCTCTCTGCCCTTCCCCTGCCCTCTCTTACTAGCTCTCTCTCAAAAATAAATTTTAAAAAATTCTAAAGTTTTGAAATGCGTCCAACACAAGTCATAGGACTTATTTGATTTACAAATAGCTTAATGAAACTTCTTTAACAAAAACATATTTTTTTAATGTTTATTTTTGAGAGAGACAAAGAGACAGAGTGAGAGCAGAGGAGGGGCAAAGAGAGAGGGAAACACAGAATCCGAAGCAGGCTCCAGGCTCCAAGCTGTCAGTCAGCCCCGACATGGTGCTCAAACCCACAAATCGTGATGTCATGACCTGAGCTGAAGTTGGAGGTTTAACCGACTGAGTCACCCAGGCACCCCCACAACAAAAATATTCTTTACATAAATTACCACTAAGATAAAAGTAGAAATGAGTATGTGAATGGTGCCATTGGAAAATACTTTTTATGGATTATCAGCATCTTTGTGCGTGCATCAATGCCATATCGTACATAATTTTCATCTGTCAAAATACTAGGAAATAGAATAAGAGAAAAAAAAATTTATCCAACTATCCCTTCAATATTTATAGACACCATCTATCCAAAATCTGATATACCCATATAATGGAATCCTTTATGAGTTTTACCTGAGACTACAGAAGCAGACCTTCAATTACGAATCCAAGATCTGAGGCAAGTTATTCATAAGTAATGTGTAAAGACCTGTCTTCCTTCAAAAAAGTTTCCTTTTGAATTACAGTACATTCACAAAGAAATTCAATATGCATGCCTGAGCACTTCAGACCTACTGTATATTTGAATCTAAAATAAAGAACAGTCTTGGTAATGTGGGTCTGGCAAGAATCCAGAAGTACTTAAATGCATTCTTGACACTTCAGCAGAAAAAGCTTACCCATTACATGCCCCAGATCCCACAGGTTCACACACCAATTATACAGCTATATTGGTATAATGCAGCTCACATCCACTTACTACAGAGAAGCCTGCAACTAACTTGTACAGGAGAAAATGGAAAATAAAACTTTCTATGAACATCTAATTGTACTGAGTCTTCATTCAGTTTCCTTAGTATTTGTCTCAGCCCTCACAATACCTTCAAGTATACTAACGTTAAATGTTACTTGCTAGGAACAAAAAAAAGAATAGAAAATAATAAACTTACAACAACAAAGCTACAAAATACTAAAATATCTTTCAGGAGACTCACAGCTTATTTTCAATGTAATGACAAAAAAAATCTTTTTAACTACCAACACTGCTCCATGCACTCATTTATACATTCAAAAATAATTATTTACTAAGCATCTCCTATCTATCAGGCACTATTTTAGTCATTACAGATAGATCAGCAAACAAAACAGACAAAATGGGGTATGAAGTACTAAAATTCATAAAAATAGGTCTTTATTTTTTTTTTTTAATTTTTTTTTCAACGTTTATTTATTTTTGGGACAGAGAGAGACAGAGCATGAACGGGGGAGGGGCAGAGAGAGAGGGAGACACAGAATCGGAAACAGGCTCCAGGCTCCGAGCCATCAACCCAGAGCCTGACGCGGGGCTCGAACTCACGGACTGCGAGATCGTGACCTGGCTGAAGTCGGACGCTTAACCGACTGCGCCACCCAGGCACCCCATAAAAATAGGTCTTTAACAAATATGTTCCGCTGGCCCCTGGGAAGATGGCGGCATAGGAGGACGCTGGGCTCACCGCGTCCTGCTGATCACTCAGATTCCACCTACACCTGCCTAAAGAACCCAGAAAACCGCCAGAAGACTAGCAGAACGGAGTCTCCAGAGCCAAGGGCACATGAGAGGCCCACGGAAGAGGGTAGGAAGGGCGGAGAGGCGGTGCGTGCTACAAGGACTGGCGGGAGGGAGCCAGTGGGGAGGGGCAGCCCGCCTGGCCAAGCAGAGGCCCTGAGTCTGCCTTGCAAAAGCAGAGGGGCCAGATGGAGTGTGTTCTGAACAGCAAGCAGGACTTAACATCTGGAAGGTTATAAGTTAATATCTCTGCTCGGAGAGCAGGAAGGCTAGAGGACAACAGGAGGGAGAGTTGTTGAGCCCACGACGACAGAGCTCAGCTAGGTGGGGAACAAAGGCGCTCGCCAGAGCCATCTCCCTTGCCCATCCCCCAGCCAAAATCCCAAAGAAAACCAGTTCCTGCCAGGGAACTTCCTTGTACTGGGCAAACACCCAACGCTGTGCTTCTGCGGATCCATCCCTCCAGCGGCGAGTCTGACTCCCTCTCAGTGCCTCAGGGTCCCTCCCGAAGCAGATCTCCGAAGGATAAGCAGATAAGCGAGCTGAGCCTGCCCCTCCAGCCCCTGTGCACCTTGCAGATCCACCCCGGCTGACACTCCAGATCCCCAACACCACAAGCCTGGCAGTGTGCAAGTAGCCCAGAGGGGCCACACCACCCCACAGTGAATCCCGCCCCTAGGAGAGGGGAAGAGAAGGTACCCACCAGTCTGACTGTGGCCCCAGCAGTGGGCTGGGGGCAGACATCAGGTCTGACTGCGGCCCCACCCACCAACCAAGACAGAACAGGGGAAGTGCCCTGCAGTTCCGCACCACTCCAGGGACTATCCAAAATGAGGAAACGGAAGAATTCCCCTCAAAAGAATCTCCAGGAAATAACAACAGCTAATGAACTGATCAAAAAGGATTTAAACAATATAACAGAAAGTGAATTCAGAATAATAGTCATAAAATTAATCGCTGGGCTTGAAAACAGTATAGAGTACAGCAGAGAATCTATTGCTACAGAGATCAAGGAACTAAGGAACACTCAGGAGGAGAAAAAATGCTATAAATGAACTGCAAAATAAATTGGAGACAACCACGGCTCGGATTGAAGAGGCAGAGGAGACAATAGGTGAACTAGAAGATAAAATTATGGAAAAAGAGGAAGCTGAGAAAAAGAGAGATAAAAAAAATCCAGGAGTATGAGGGGAAAATTAGAGAACTAAGTGATGCAGTAAAGAGAAATAATCTACACATAATTGGTATTCCAGAGGAGGAAGAGAGAGAGAAAGGTGCTGAAGGGGTACTTGAAGAAATCATAGCTGAGAACTTCCCTGATCTGGGGAAGGAAAAAGGCACTGAAATCCAAGAAGCACAGAGAACTCCCTTCAGACAGAACTTGAATCGATCTTCTGCACGACATAGCATAGTGAAACTGGCAAAATACAAGGATAAAGAGAAAATTCTGAAAGCAGCTAGAGATAAACGTGCTGTAACATATAAAGGGAGACCGATAAGACTCCTGACGGATCTCTCTACTGAAACTTGGCAGGCCAGAAAGGAATGGCAGGAGATCTTCAATGTGATGAACAGAAAAAATATGCAGACGAGAATCCTTTATCCAGCCAGTCTGTCATTTAGAATAGAAGGAGAGATAAAGGTCTTCCCAAACAGGGGCGCCTGGGTGGCGCAGTCGGTTAGGCGTCCGACTTCAGCCAGGACACGATCTCGCGGTCTGTGAGTCCGAGCCCCGCGTCAGGCTCTGGGCTGATGGCTCGGAGCCTGGAGCCTGTTTCCGATTCTGTGTCTCCCTCTCTCTCTGCCCCTCCCCTGTTCATGCTCTGTCTCTCTCTGTCCCAAAAATAAATAAAAAAACATTGAAAAAAAATTAAAAAAAAAAAAAAAAGGTCTTCCCAAACAAACAAAAACTGAAGGAATTCATCACCACTAAACCAGACCTACAAGAGATCCTAAGGGGGATCCTGTGAGACAAAGTACCAGAGACATCACTACAACCATGAAACCTACACACATCACAATGACTCTAAACCCATATCTTTCTATAATAACACTGAATGCAAATGGACTAAATGCTCCAGCCAAAGACATAGGGTTTCAGAATGGATAAAAAAACAAGACCCATCTATTTGCTGTCTACAAGAGACTCATTTTAGACCTGAGGACACCTTCAAATTGAAAATGAGAGGATGGAGAACTATTTATCATGCTACTTGAAGTCAAAAGAAAGCTGGAGTAGACATACTTATATCAGACAAACTGGACTTTAAATTAAAGGCTGTAACAAGAGATGAAGAAGGGCGTTATATAATAATTACAGGGTCTATCCATCAGGAAGAGCTAACAATTAATAATGTCTATGCGCCAAATACGGGAGCCCCCAAATATATAAAACAACTACTCACAAACATAAGCAACCTTATTGATAAGAATGTGGTAATTGCAGGGGACTTTAATATTCCACTTACAACCATGGATAGATCATCTAGACACACGGTCAATAAAGAAACAAGGGCCCTGAATGATACATTGGATCAGATGGACTTGACAGATCTATTTAGAAGTCTGCATCCCAAAGCAACAGAATATACTTTTCTTCTCGAGTACACATGGAACATTCTCCAAGATAGATCACATACTGGGTCACAAAACAGCCCTTCATAAGTATACAGGAATTGAGATCATACCATGCATACTTTCAGACCTCAATGCTCTGAAGCTTGAAATCAACCACAGGAAAAA